AAGAAACCCCACACAGAAAACCCCAGAAACCTGGCTGCAGAAACTGGGTCACCGCCTTCGTAGACTTGTTTAGGAGACACATGTAAACACACACACATGCACATAACACATTGAGGGAAAATCTGAACATGTGACCAGGAAGGTCAGGAATAAAAATGTAAACAGAATGATTGAAAAAAGCATATTTTTACGAATTTAAAATCTGCAATAATAAAACAGAAAAAACTTTATTTCGGTAGACATCTCTATCATTCTCCATATTTTCTTTTCATCTATCGTCTCTCCCTCCTTTCTGTTTATATCTTTAGCTGTCTTTCTCATAATCTTTGTCCTCTCATTGGATTTCTTGCGGTTTCTCCTGCAGCGCGGTTTCTATCCAGCAGTCTATTTATTTTTCATATAAACTATTGCACACTGTCTACCACCATTGTATGGGTCTAACAAAGCCCATTAGGCCAGAGATAACAATATAAGCAGCTTTAACAGACCTGGTTCAGGAGTTAAAGCCAGTCTTTATGACTTGTTAAACCCCCAAATATTGGACGAGGCATTCAGAGGCATAAAATCAACAAGTTTAAGTCTCTCTTTAAAATGTAGCAGAGAATTTGGAAGTAGTTTTGCTTGCCACCAACAAAATATTGGTGACCTGCCAAAGCAGCTAATTGAGTTGGCATCTTTCATGCAGCAGCCAGCATTTACGAGCACGTGTCTGGTGTTTATTACCACCAGACATTTTTCTTGGCAGGGTGGAAGGGCCCTATGAAAAAGTATGGGGACCCACTGGGCACTGAAACTTGCCATTGAAACAAATGGTAATGGTGGAGAAGTCATCTCAGCAGGGTGCCTCACCTTCTCAGTGTTGGGGCGGCCACTGTATTCCACCACATTCAGGGATAATACTCCTCTGTTAGGCTTTATTTGGACTCTGCCCAGTCAAGGGGAGAGGAGAACAGAATACAAAGCAGAAGGGAGAAAATGTCAGGAGAACCAACCACAGAGAGGTGAGAGGAGATGTAAGAGGAAAGGCGAGAAGAGCAGAGGGAGAGGAATGGGAGATGCAAAGAGGAAGTGGGAAAATCCACCCTCCTTTCCTCCTTGTCCATCATCATCGTCACCAATTCATCTGTTAAAGCCTGGACCCACTTAATACAAACACACACTTATGTCTTTGTCACTTTCAGTTCAGAGAGTGTACAGATCTGACACAACTGGGAATTAACATGTCATAAGTGTGTGGTCTAAAGAATAAAGCAGCTTTTTCATTCTATGAAACTCACTGAACTGCAATTTCAACAGGGGTTAACAGGTTTGTCATTTTCCACAGGAACAGTCATTTTCCTTTATTGTTCCTCTTAAAAAGACCATGGCATCTGCATCATTGTGACACAAACAAACCAAAGAATTGGTCTATGAATATTATGGAAATATGTAATTGTCACTACCCAATATACTAAACAATGCAAAAAATAAAAAACGTTTAGACTGCTGAATAATCTGAAAGAAATCAACTGCAAAATATCAGGCACAATAGATTAACTATTATGAAAAATGCTACTACAAAACAACAGTTACAGTACGTATCCTAAATGACATGGGATTTATTATTGAGGACCAGGGATCAATCTATAAAAAAATTTTAATTCAGTAATGTCACGGTAACGGAAGGTCCATAGTGCCCAGAAAGTGCCACAGGATAAATTTCATCGTTTGCTGCTGTATTATACAGATTTTATCACAAAGGCATTTTGAGATGTAAAAAACATTCTTGGTGTAAATATTTATACTGTGAAACAGTTCATTAAGATTTTTTGTAGCTGATTTAGGATGACAGTAAATCAGTCCTTGAAGAAAAAGGCTGGCAATATTCTGTATTTTTCTTATGGTCAGAAAATCCAATGAAAACAGAAACCACCAACAGTTTCTATGGCACAGACAGGAGTTTCAAGGGATTTGTTGACAATAAGAAAATTATAGAATGACGCCAGCCTTTTCTTTTAAAAGAGGTGTTTAAAGGGTACTGTTGCTAGTGGGGTCAGCAGCAGTGTCTGTCTGGGGTTGGGAGCAACATTAGCTCATAGCAACTAGCTTCTATTGTTAGTTCCTCGCCTGTAAATCATAAGGGAAGGGTCTATAAAAATTGTTGCGCATGTGTTCTTCTGTCTCCTCTCCAAAATAACCTTTAATCCCAGGCTGCTAGTAAAAGAGAGTTGTAGGGGTCATTGTACTGCTCATAACTGTGCACAACTTGCCTGTGTAATTGACGCTTACTAATAATACGTCTATGGTTAGAAATCACACTGGCTTCTTTATCATGTGTCCAGTTGCTGCCTCTGTTTGAAAGTACCAGTGAAATGACATGACAGAGTTACTTAACAAATAATATACAGCAAGTGTATGACGGACGCATTTTTACACTTGGGTACAATCATATATTCTAAACCTGAATGAGGACTGTTTAATGAAAATAGAGACTTTTTTGACATAGTTATTTACAAGCTCAAACGATACAAAGTCGTTTTTGAATATTTGTGTCTACCAAACCTCAGCTACAAATTTTCATGCTTGCAAGCATATTGTAAGTGACATGCTGCAGAAAAGGTTTTACCATCAGCCGCTTATTCCACCATCCATGAACTTTCCACAAGTTTACTGTTTGGAAAGTGCCTCTCTTGTACTCTGTCCATTTGTAAGAGCTGATTAATCTAAACTTACAGGGTTGTGTTGCCTTCATGGTTTTGACTATCCTGTCCAACAGCCAATGCTTTAACAAGGAAAAAGGCCTCACTCTCCCACTTGAACCCTGTAAAACCGGATAATGCTGTAACATGGATTAATGTTAAGTGCCTTGCCCAAGGGCAGCTCAGTGGTATTTCCTGAAGGAATGAGGAGGGTTAGTCATTCTCTTCTCCTTTCCCAGAATTTTCCACGAAAGCCAGAATCTTTTAAATCTTCAAGCTTACTCGATATTCACTAAGCAAGATGAATGCTTTGAGCATATCTAGGGTTGTGTCTCCAACCTTTGAATTTAATTCCGATGGTGGTTGGTACTAACATTGGTTTTGAAGTTTAAGCAGACACTTATTTCCTCCCTAAACGTCCCAGCAGCCTCATATAAATGTATCCTACCCTTTGCACAGTGCCCTTTGGAGGTCCCCATGCTAGCTGAATAAAACATGCCCTCTGCCTGTTATCTGTTGTTTTTTTTTACTGCATCTGGTTCCCATCCTGCTTCCCGAGGTTTAGATTAAACAATCTTGTGTTTCCAGCTGCCTGTTGCAGTGGATGTAACCTTAAATTGGATGAACCAAAGAGGGAGAGAGGAAAGAGGAAGGGACAAAGAGCAAAAGAGAGCCTGATGGAGAGATTTGAGGGTATGTAGGGAGCAAAAAAAAGATAGATAAAGAGAAAAACAAAGACAAAGAGATGTAGTATAGAGTCTTTCAGAGTACAGAGTCTGTCAGAAGTTAGCAATGGTCAGTTCAAGATGAGGTCTCAGCAGAATAATTGACTTGGCTCCTGCCTCTCAAAATTTTAACTGTTGAATAGCTTATTGAATATTTATACTGTATCTTATTCCTACAGAAGAATTTAGTAATCGATAAAACTGTATAATCTAATCTATATTTACTTTCTCTCCATTCTGTGTTGAATGGAAATACTTTTTATTATAAATGCAGGAACCAATATTTTCCTTCCGCTGGTTGTACAAGACATTAGCTTTTCTAACTAGAATCAGACCATATCCTCAGTGCAAATATCCGATAATTGATTAGATCCAGAAATTGGAAGAAAACCTGAGTTCTCGTTTGGTGAGTCCAGCAATTTCAGTCTTTTGGATTCACATCTTAAGGCAGTACGGTGCTGGTAATGCTGTTGATTCCAAGCTCTCTTCTGGATAATCCACAGTCCAAACAGAACCGTATTATTCCATATTATTATGTTGTAGTTATTGTCTCTGATATGACAACACTAAGCTTTATGTTTGAACAGTCAGTAACTTAGAGAAGTGTTGACAACCACTGCAATAATGAGACACGTGTGCACTAAATATGTCATAAGGAGCACACAAAGATGAATATGGATTTATTGCATAAATAAATTAAACTGGAAAACAGATGCAAGCAGCAGAGTGATTGCATATTCAGTTGTTACACAGCTGGTTTGCATGTGTTTTCTCCACAGTATAACTGTTGCAGCTGTACTAGTGACATCTATTGGAATCAACTTGTAACTTTACATTTAGAGATGATGGATGCAAACTTCAAACTTCAAACTTTTGAGCTCTTGTTTGTGTAAAAGTGGAACTTTGTCCATGTCTGGGTTTTTTTTAAAGTTTATCTAACAAGCCACATTTGAGCTATGTAATTCAAAAGTTTAGGCACTTGTCATGTCAAGGATAGGAATGAGAAACAACCTCTTTCTACACTAAAAATAATTCTGTGTTTTCAGTTTAAAGGTGTTGATGAATACGGTTATCTCGCTATTCAGTCTACAGGAGATGAGCATTTTCTAAGGTTGCAACTAACGATATTTTTTTGCTTGAAAAATGACTTGAAGATCAATCAATTATCTAAACAGTTGCTCATTAATTTTATGTCAATTGTGTATAAGGAAGATTTATTTATCATTTTACAATGATTTTACAACATATTCAGAATCATTACCCCTTGTCGTTAACAGGCAGCTTGCTTTGTGTCCCTTGTGAAATGTATCTTTTGAAGGCTCATCCATAGAATTTTGTATTGTATTTCTCTGTAAAGTAGCACAGTGTTGACAATGTTACTGAACAATGTTAATGAACTCTCAGGCTTTTCTAATGCCCCAAAAATATATATTTAAAAAAGTTATATCATAAATGTGTACTCCACTAATGGCTTGAACTACTAGTTGACCAGTGAAATCTTTAGTCGGGGCTAACAGGAAGCTGTCAATGAGGCCATATTGTTAGAAACTAAACTTCTAAAAATAAATCTCGGAAAGAGATGAATAAGACACAAATGTCACCTTTCCACAGTTTATTTCCTTTTAAAATAATTCATACAAATGCATACAGTCACAAACATATCTTTGTCAGGTTGTCAGTTTTGACCAAAAATAATGATATTTACTGTAGAATATAGAATATGTATACTGTATATTGCTACGCCTACTACTTTACCATAAAGGGGACCAAGGTAGGCAACAGTGGACTGTGTGTTACTACCAGGGATGGAATTTCAAGGAGCAACTCGACACGTTAAAAGTCAGTCTGTTGTTTTTACTTTTGGCACCCTTCGGTTTGAATGAGGAATGCTAAGAGTTATATTAGGAAGTATTAACAAAGACTTTCTCCCTCACATAATGACAGGCATCTGGTGAGGAAAGATTAAGAGTAAAATAATACAGCATTCATTTCAGGAATTTGGGGCTCTAGTCTGACAGTGATATTTAAATGTCACCTCAGTACCTTCTGTACTAGACACCTCCTTCAGATTTTGGCCAGTGAGAACTGGCCTGGGCTGTAAAATACTCACCAATGGCTAGAGAAATTTCCATCCCTGATTGCTACTCTTACTACCTTACCATGAAGAAGACCAGGTAGGCAACAGTGAACTGTTTTAACTACTCAGCTGCTGGTAGAAGGGGATCCAAATAGCACCTTCACTTGGCTGGCCTGCTAACATCAACAACACATGAACTGGAATCAGTATTAAATATTCCAGATAGAAAAACAGGTTCAGATATTTTACTACTGCCCTATCAGCATCTTGCTTACATTGTGGGACCAGTAAAAGCGTAGATTACTGACTTAGTTTGCTTGCTCAGATTTAAAGTCTGGTTCTAAGCATGTTTAGTTTGTCACATAGTGTTTTGTTGTGTATTTAGATGGCACTCTTTGTAATAATGCCTTGTGGAGAGTACTAGCCACCACCCCTCCTCCCAGTGCTGCTTTTTTTTAGACACAGATAACAACCAAGTCACATTGACACAGGCAGGCAGAACACCATATGTACACATAGACACAGAGGCCACAGAGGGTGGCTAAATGGTATACTCAGGAAGGACCCATCATGAAATGTTAAAGGGATGCTAGACTGGAGAAATCAGTACGTTCTGACATGCTATCATGAAACGTCTGTACTTTGTTGTGCATACATGATGTTTCTCACAATGTAAAACCATAGTTTGTTGCTCTCATAGGCAATGTGTTCCTCTCTTGGAAAGAAAGGTAAAACTGACAAGCCATGTGGTATTTAAAAGGGTCGATTTGGGAGCAGATCACAAATATGAACATTTGGTTCAACCTCACTTCAAGAACACAACTGTTCCTCATTAATCAGTAACCATTAACTGTTCTGAACCGCATGTGACATCTGTACTGTAGTTTAACTTCAGATAGGAACCAAAATAGTTTTGGTAGAAGTATAGAGTTTGTTAATGCAGTTAATTTGACAGATCCGTAGCTGGAAGTCAAACTTCAGTAAAATACTGGTTTCGCAGCATGAGGCAATACACTGATTCACCAGTGTTGTGCATCATTTGTTGTGCTGAACTGCTTATGCTCCATGACCTAGACAATTAATATGTGTATAGTGGAAGTACTGGATCATTAGACATGAAGAAGACAAAGATAATAACCTTTTATGTGGCTCAAGCTGTAAACTGCTACAATATCAGTGCATCGCCTCATCCACAACCTGCTGTGTCCTTCAAAGTAATTAACCCAACCCCTCTATTTTGTAAAGCCACATCACGACTAGGGATTAAGTCGTCCCAGCTAAGCATACCATCATGCCACCTCCCTACAGCCTTTCCTCCCGCAACCCTCTCGATTTGGGTCAAACATTTACACAAGTTCCAAGAGCAAAGTCTCATGCTCCTTAAACATAACAAACAAAAAGCGAACATTAGATCAACTTTATCTCTTTTTAAAGTATTTTTCTAATGTAGCGGGACATGAAAAGGCAAGCAGGTAGAAAAACAAAAGCACTAAGTGGCATAAAAAGGAATTTTTAAAATAAAAAAAATAACATACCAACTGAGGAAACTTAATTTCCTGAGATGGTGTGCAAAAAGCTGCCTCTTTTTAGGGGAGGGTTGTTAATTGTTAACTTGGGGACATAAAAAGAGATGTTGTATTTTCAAACCAGTTTCGCTACATAGAGAGATCATATAACCCTTGTTTTTGTTAAGACTGGAATACAAATATCAGTATCTTCTTGCCATACGTCTAAAAACTGTACACAGACAGGTTACATTCATTTCATAACCTACTACTTTTGCTTGTACATCAAACTAAGGAAATGACACAGAAAAAGAGAGAAAGACATGAAATAGGCCCCTCTAACTGTGGACACACTAAAGTCTAAAACAGCAGGATTTGATTCAGTATTTTTTCTTCCCAAATGAACATTGTTTTAGTTTATTTTTTAACTTCTGGCAGAGAAAACTTGACTATACTGTAGTTGCTATGTGAAGATAAACCTGTGGATCTTTACAGTCTGAGGATTTCTGTTTAGAGCAGAGGACAATTGTCTTTCTCTTTGATTAGAGCATCTGACAGCTATCCACTCCTCGTCATCATCCTCTTTATTGTCATCATCTTCTTCTTCTTCCTCCTCTTTGGAGTGTGAATTGGCTGCTGGGAACCAATAGCCAGAGAGTTGTAAATCGATTGTTATTGGGACCTCAACCTGTCGATCTGACACTCTGAACCTTTCTGATAACAACTTATCACTAGGGAACTTATCGCTATGATCCCGGTTGCCATGCCTACCTCCTCCAGTCACCAGACAACATGGGTGATCGTGTGTGCGTTTGTGTGTGTGGCTACAGTTGGTCGTTCAGATGCTGCTCTCTGTCGCCCTCTGGTGGCTTGACTGTATTTTGTCCGGGGGACGGGGCATGAGGAGGGTGTGTGGCAGCAGGCGGGAGGGTGTGTGTGATGGGCACGGCGCTGGGCACAATGCCTTCAACAGGTGGCGGGAGGCCGCCAGCTGGCAAGCTCACCACTCCTGGGGGATACCTGGAGAAGAGAGAGGGAGATGGACAGAGACGCAAAACTGAGTCATCATAGTAAAACCTTGTTTTGACCTCCACAATCCAGACCTCCGTTAAAATTAGACAAGCCAATTAAATATGAACATTTATATCTTAAAAAGCTACAATATCAGAATACTTTCGTGACATAGTACTGTAGCACACTTCAGTACCACAGAGTATTTTACCTCAGTTCATTGTTAAACTATTACATTTCAGGAAAAAAAGTTATAAATGGCCATCACAAAGTCCAAGAACCTAAGGTTTTCAGATTGCTAATATTGTTCAATGACTATTCCATAACCCACAGATTTTCCATTTAGTATCATATAAAATACAGGAAAAAAGCTAATCCAAATAGTTAAAGATTAGAGAGACTTCTGCTAACAACACTAATCTGATGAATGCATTACGGAAACAGCAAACAGAAACACTGTCTACAAGACAGTATAATTATGGACTGACGTGCTATCTCTCTTATGCTGTGTAATTCTGATAGCAGTAACACACTGTAATTGTAACACAGCAATAACACGCTTTCTATGTATCAGTAATTACATTTAGAAAAAATATTTGCTGTCATTAGTACCTTTCTAAACTTGGGTGTTTACATTCTTTCAAAACATTTGGCAAAAATGGTATCAATCAATCAATTTTCCAGGGTTTGGGGGGAAAAAATCAAACTGTACTGACCACTACAGGTTTCTTTATCCTGATGTCAGTTATTACCTATAAGCCCCGTTGAGCTCGGGGTGGACGGTAGCTGGGTCAACTCCTGCCCAGTGGTTGTTCTGGGTGAGGAACTCCTTATTCACACAGTTCTTCAGACTGTCTGGGATACGACCTGAAAAATAGAGAAATGGAAAAAAAGACAAGTATGAAGTGCTAAAATCTATTTTATAAAGGAAGCAAAAAAGGTCCAAAGCTCTACAATTCCCACTGTGGAACTTCTTAGTGGTACTAGTCTACTTTCAAGGCAGGTGTGATTTTCAGCAACCCATTTTCCACAGAGACACAAAAGACAAGATTAAACAGGCCATTGATAAAAAGACACTGGAGAAACCATAGAATGGGAGACAGAAGAAGAAAAAGAAGATGGAAAGAAGGATGTGGTTAGAAAGAAAGAGGCAGACTGTGAAATACCTTTAAATCTGTCTGTGCTGAATAAAAAGGGTGGTTTATGCTCAACTGCAGCTGAACGCCTAAAAATACCTCCTATTAGACTTGTGTTTACCAGCAGGGGTCATGTTTTCCATCAATGCATCTGTGTCTCCATGACTGTGTGCGTGTACACTACCTGTGATAGCCCTTCGGATCTCCCTGGCTGCCTCCTCTCTCATCTCCAGTGATGCCTGTTCGCTGTACCAGGCAGCATGTGGGGTGCAGATCAGGTTGGGAGCATCCTTTAGCGGGCCCTGACTGAAACTGACACATATGCATACAGTGCAAACAGTTACAGCTGCAACAAATGATTTTATTTACTGTCACCTAATTTCTAGACTTTTCAAATTAGGAAATGAGTTGTTTTACACACACACACACACATATATATATATATATGTGTGTGTGTGTGTGTGTGTTTTTGTTTTTTTTTTAGATTGTGTTACCTGAAAGGCTCTGTCTCATGAACATCCAGAGCAGCTCCACGTATCCTCCCCTCCTTCAGGGCCTGAGCCAGGGCCTTCTCATCCACCAGACCCCCCCTGGCTGTGTTCACCAGGAATGCTCCTTGTCGCATCTTCAATACACATATACACACGTACAGTTCATTATTTACTTTTCTCTAATATGATAAAGCTGTACACCTGATTCACATTTTAAATTGATCCAAATTGGTTTAAGGACATTTTCAGTGAATGTCTCGTCAGTTTAAAATGTAATGTGAGTTTTTCTCCAAATTAGCTACTTGTCTTTAAAATGTATGAAAAAATGAATGTGAAGAACACATCAGCTACACATACATAAAAGCATATAAAGCACTTGTTCTATAAATCTACAGAGATTCTTAGTGAAACTTAACCATAATAATACATATGTCAAATTTTATTGATCCACATAGAGACATTTTCCTTTCACTTTTAAAGCCAGAAATACTTAAGAGCGTTGCCTGTGTCTTGAGATGAAAAATGGAGGTAGTGGGCTTCCCTGGGTATCCACTTCTTAAATGGGATGTGGTAGTTGATGTAGGAATAAGTAAATCATTCAATCATTGCGTGTGTCTATGTGCTTAGTCACACGTGTGTGTATGTGTGTGCTGCTGTCCCTTCTACCTGTTTGATGGTGAAGTCGTTGATCAGGTGGTGGTTGTGCTCGTTGAGGCTGCAGTGCAGAGAGACGCAGTCGGAGTGAAAGAGCAGGTCCTGAGGAGAAATGAAGAAAAACGTGGCAAATCAATCCCAGTCCCCTTTATATGGCAGCTCATTTCTGAAAGGGCTTCAATGTAGTCATTTTATGTGGTGTTAATTAGCAGAGTTTCAGGAGCGGGACCGCACATCAAGCACGTCATCGCCAGCATTTTCATAAATACCCACACGTCCTAACTCCTCCCCTTCGGTCTCGTATCCTGCATCCCTCCCTCCCACTCCTTTCTCTGTCCTGCCTCCTGATCTCCTTCTTCCTCTCCATAGGTTTATAAGGGGGTCTGTCGTGCCCGGACGCTACGGCGGATTTCCCTATCGTAGCTTCCCCCCAACGCTTTCGAATGTCTATTCAGCAACTGCAAGCTTCATACATCTTCTGTGTGTTTATCAATAAATCATTTAATCATACCTGTTGATTGTGTACCTTGCTAGTGAAAATATACTAGATTCACACTGAGATTAAAATTGTACTCACTGATTTCCAAACAAGTCGTGCTTCAGATCTTCCATAAACCATAAATGTTGCACTTTTGTTAGTCAATTACTAGTATAACTATAAATCTTTATAACTACAAGAGTATATTTTTGTTTTTTTATTACTGATAGGCAGAATTACAGTTAATGAGCACAAGAGCATGTCACTTCGTCGCCACATACAGAAGGCACAGTGGTAATGGCAAATACACATTTGTTATGGTGAATGGTGAAGAAAACAGTGTTTTGTCAGCTAAGACAAAAGGAGACAATGGATTTTTTCCCTGGTAAAAAAAGATTTAGTCTGAAATGGCTTACATTCCATGCAAGTGCTGTGGCTTAAGAAATGGTACTTCGGTGACAGTCATATCTATCGCTGTCATGGGAGACTTTGGATACTTTGCTGATACTGGCATTACGTGCAGAGCAAATTAATAAAAACTGTCGGCATCTCCATGAAACCAGTGAGTGTCAGGAGCAAAAACAGGATCTGGACTTATTAACACACAGTCCATTGTTGTTTAATGGTAAAGTAATAAGTGTAGTAATATCCAAAATACCATTTATAATTAAAATACCTGAAATATTTTGAGGAAATAAAGGAAAAGGAAATAAGCAATGGAAATCGATTAGCTTTCAGTCTTTTATACCACAAAATTCCTGCTAGTGTTATCTGTGGCAGTAAAAGTAATTTAAATGATCACTCTACAAGATGGACCTAAAGCTCTTCAGGTGTGGAAGTTTTTAGGATTGATTTCAACAAATAATCATCGTCAAACCAAGGTCACTCAGATCAGCTGACCAGGTGCTCCTTGTCCCAAGATCATGGCTGAAGCACAGACGAAATCACGCTTTTGCAGTTGTACGTCCCAAACTCTAGAAGTCTGCAAGTTAAACTGGCCCCTGCACCATTTTTCCTTATAAATTGGTCTTTGTGTTGTTTTTTTTACAGTGTTACTGTGTTGTGTTTTTTGCTATATCTTGACTGGACAAAAATTTGGTCAACTGATGTTTTAAAATGCTTTATTAATAAATTTGAATTGGATTTGGACTGTGATAATCAGACTTTTACAACTATAATACACAAGCTCTGGAAACAGTTGGAAGGTTGCTAATTTCTCAGAAACAAAATGGCCCCACGCATACCTGAGTGTGTGTGTGTGTGTGTGTGTGTGTGTGTGTGTGTGTGTGTGTGTGTGTGTGTGTGTGTGTGTGTGTGTGTGTGTGTGTGCGTGTGCATGTTTGCATGTGTGCTACCTGTAGTGTGGTGACCCTTTGTAGTCCCAGGGATCTCTCTACACCATCAGCCAAATAAGGGTCATAGAAGATCACATTAAAGCCAAAGGCCTTGGCTCGCAGGGCTACAGCCTGGCCCACACGACCTAGAAACGCATGAATACACACAGGCATGGAGGGGCACACACATTATTGCACACACACACACACACACACACACACACACACACGAGCATTTAGACAAATTGTATACACATGAATTCACATTCATATGGAACATAAAAAATAACAATTTGTGTGCATTTAATAGTACTTTTTTTGACTTCAAATTACATAATTCTCTGGCTACACACATCTGCTCATTATTACTGAAAAAGCTTCCAGACTGTACAGGGAAGAGATTTGCATTCTGCTTCTGGTTAATCCGCTTATATTTTATTGGCAGTAATTCCTTAGGAAGCCAATTTAGCTGAGCTAAGGACAAAACTTCCCAAAATGAAAATGGAAAAGAGAGAAAAGTCCTTTGATTAAAAACTTGAGCACTATTAATCAGCAACAACCTCATCCACAGTGCATCAGTCTGGCCACCCTATGTCAAACAAACTGAACAAAATGACAACCTTTTTGTTAACATTTGAAAAGAGTAAACTAAGATGATAAACATTATGTGTGCTAAACATCAGCATGTTAGCCTATTCATTGTAAGTATTTTAGATGTTACCTTTTAGCTCAAAGCACTGCTGTGCCTATGTAAAGCCTTACAGGGCTGCTATTATGGCTGTAGACACTCCTCTTTCTAAAGCACTAAGGCATTAAGCGATATGTGTATTGCTGCTCACCAAGCCCTATAAGTCCGAGTGTCTCTCCTCTGATCCTCGCCGCTCCAGACGCCACCTCTCGGATCTGCTCCACGCTCTGAACCCGCGTGCCCTCACGGAGAGCCTGGCATGAATACCAGTTACTTATTACATGCAAATACATGTATAATCCAAACAGCAAAAACAATTTCAGTTCAACACACTCCAGGTATATTTCATAATGTCTGCACTTAATGACCAAAGTCTAAATCCTTTTAGATGCAGCATTGTGATCATGGTTATAAAATCGAAATAATGATTTTTTCTTATAACTGATTTGAGGAACAAATCATTTTACTGTACCTTCTACATCTTACATCAACGTCTTTCAAATACAGCAACATTCTAAAGAAAATGAAATGTTTTAATTTTGCTGATTTGTCAGTAGACAATTATTAGTAATTGTCAAAACTAAAAGTGTGATAACTGAATAAACACCTCTAACCAATACATTTAGAATTAGCTTATTTAAATCCAATTCATTTTAGTCCCCGTTATCAGCCACACAAGGATACAAACCTGGTGCAGCCAGGTGGTACGTCGGTATAAGGTGAGGATGTGACACAGCGTGGAGTCTGCCGTCTCCTCCACTGAGGCTGCTGGCATATTACATACAGCTATGCCTGTTGGACCAGAGAGTAGATAAGGATTAGTAATAGCTTTTTGGGGCCATTTGAGGAGAGAGATGAAGTTTGGTGAAAGCTATTTTGGTGGGGAAGTGCAGACTTAAGGTGTGGCGTCAGCAGTTTTCTCTACAAACACTATTGCCGACTTTCAAATTGAGGAGCTTCTTGGCGGAGGAAGATTGGGGACGTTAGTAAAACCCTGGCTGCTGCAGGACAGAGTATTTTCTTTAAAAACTTCACTTTTTTGAATACAAGTAATCCTGACTTGTTGCAAACATGGCTATTGTGTGGAATGTAACTAAGTACATTTATTCAAGTACTGTACTTAAATACGATTTTAAGGTATTTGTTCTTTACTTGAGTATTTCCATTTTTATACTGTTTACTCCACTACATTTTTTTGACAACATTAGTCACTTTGCAGATTTATATTATTAATACAAAACATAAATCAATTAATAAATAATTCTGTAATATTATGGATATTCTTGGCAGCTACCTCGCAGTATATAAAGCAGTTGAAAACAAAACAGTTTACTTGCTTCTCGTAGCTTGTTGTTTGAACAGATAGTCAAGACTATTCAAGACATTTTTGCATGTAATTGAAAGTAAAGGTACTGAAACTTATAACATCAATGACTGCTCTTTTCCATTTAGCTAGCCCAACATCCTCGCTAAGCTTGGCTCTGGAACAAATAAAAGGCCAGCAGCAATTATTAATGTTAGCTTCACAAGTGTTTGACAAATGAAGTTTGTGGAGTTCTGGAGTTAAATGTTGAGTAACTGAAAGTGATATGTTGCTAAATATGTGAATGATTTTTATAGTTAACAGGTAAGCAGAACAGTTCACTACATGACCAGTACATTATTGTGTTTTGTGTGTGTGTGTGTGTGTTCTTACCAAGTTCCCCGGCAGATTTGATGTCAATGTTGTCATAGCCGCTGCCAATGCGGACAATGATGCGCAGCGCTTTAAACTTTTCCAGGTCTTCTCTCATCAGAGTGATGGTGTGGTACATCAGAGCTCCTACAGCTTCATTCAGCACCTGGACACACATATGGCTATTTAAAACACAAATCACTTCATGTGCTCTTCTTCTTCTATCTCCTAACAATTCTCTTGTATTGATTGCACTATTTTGTTAACTCCTACTTCTTTCTATAAGTATTTACCCCTCGGATGCCACACGTGCCATTAGCTCTTACTAGTATTTATTGTCACTTGTATATCTCGTGCTGTATTGATGCTTTGTTGATGCTTTGTTGATGCCTCTATGTTGTTCCTGAAATGTAAGTCACTTTGGAAAAAGCATCAAAAAAAGCGTAATATATTGTAAAAACATATACACTGAAGCTAGCGATATGTGTTTGTGTGTGAACAGGAAATATCTAAATCTGTGCAGCCTTACTTAACTTCTGTGCTTAGACATCCAGGGATAAAGCAGAAAGTGGTGGAAAATATTAACCAATGTACTGTACATAATTTACACATTTCAGAGGGAAATATTATACTTTTTACTCCACTACATTTATATGACAACTTTAGTTACAAGTTACCTTGTAGATTCAGATTGATGATACAAAAAATAATCAGCAAATAAATGATGACTTATTATAGGTGAAAATAAAACTTTAGTGATCAGTGATCATGGGGGAAATTTGCAAGCTATTCAGCAGTATAAATGTAAGTGATGGACACATTAATGCATCAATAATTATAATACAGTAATATAAATTATTCTGAAATTGGCCATTCTGCCTAATTAGTATTTAGTATAGTTTTTACTTTTGCTACTTTAAATATTTTTGACGTTAAAACTTTTGTACTTTTACTAATTTTCAGTACAGGACTTGTATCTTTTAGAGTATTTCTACTCTGTGGTATTACTACTTTTACTTACGTAAGAGAGCACATCTTCCACGACTGAACACAGACAATTACACATGCATAAAAGTGTGTCTGTTTGCAGAACAATTGGAAAGTGCTTTGAATACAAACAGTATATATGGAAGTATATATATAGTGAGTGTAAAATTCAAGTCATCAGCATGTGTTTTGTAAGTAAAGTGTAGCTTTATGAGTATCACTTTGAGTGAATCTCAGCAACCAGAGTTAACTGAGTTCACAGTATTTCCATAAACTCTGTATCTCGGTAAAGTTTTTTTCCAGGATTTGCTGTTTTTATCATTCTCATATCCTGTTTTTTTTAACATCCCTGCCTGCATGGAATGATTGCTTTTCCTGAATATTACCATGGAAACTCAGCTTTTATAACCACAGGAATCGAGATAAGGATCTAAAAAACTATCTAATATCAGCAGGAATCTTGTTCACATGGGATTCTCACCGGCTCCTAATCAGGACGACGGCTTGTTGTCTTAATTGAAAGTGAAATGTCTCAAAAGCAGTGAACTTGACAAGCATATATTTTCTTTTACGTTTACATTTTGTGTATATTATTGTCAATTTTATATTGATGATTCTTGACCTGCAGTACTTGCTTTATCTTAAAAATTGTTTCTATCTACTAGGTTTGTTGTTATGCACCAAAACACCAAAGCAAATTCCTTTTATGTCTGAAAACCAGTTCAGTCACCTTTTAATTGGTTCTCAGTCAATGTTACCATCTCTTTCTAACGTTGCCAGCCCTTCTCTTCATGTGTGAGAGGATGAAAATGACATGCGGTTCAATTACAATAAGGAAGGCCTTTTAATTACACAAGGAGGTAGCTGTTTATTAGAGAGCCAAAGAGAGAGAGCAAGAGATAAGATAGTGAGTGAGGGAGCGCCATCTGTTTCTCCCACGCTGTGGCCTACTGAGCGCGCTCACAGAGAGAGTGCGCCTGGCAGACACCCAGAAACAGACGTAACCCTGCCAGACATACAAACCCATTTACAATCCATAGTAGCTGTGGCACAACCCGAGCCTGACCCACATTTTAAGTTTGCTCTTTGTACTCTTCTTTAATTGTCTTTCCTTCTTTTCCCGTTTTTCTTTTACTCCTCTTATTCTTTGTTTAATGCACAGCCGTTATTATTTTAATGTGGTTCTTTGTCTGCTCAGCCGTGATGACCACTGCTCATGTTAATGTAAAACATAATCACTTCTTGTTGAAAGCTTTATTGAACTGCTTGCTGAATCCTTTTATAGGCCTACTTATAAATACTTATATTACTAATATTTGCAGGATATGATCTTACTTAGAGTGTGCGTGTGTATGTGATCTAGTTAAGGTAAAGGTAAGATAAAGGTACTTTGTCACATACACATACATGTAGCAAAATTCATTCTCTGCATTTAACCCATTCCTCAAGTGAGCAGTCTAATTGTGTTACCTTCTCGTGGATCTCCTGTGTGGACTGAGCGTCACAGAAGGCCACGGTTGCTACGTCTTTCAGGATGGGCATCTCCACAGTGCAGTCACGCCCGTCCAACAGCGCCACCAGGGGGCGCGGGTGCATAGGCCCGTTCATAATGGGTGGCCTGATGCCTACACACACACACACACACACATATACACACGTAAGAAAATAGAAAAAAAGTGTCAGATGGGCAGAACAAAAGTGGCAAAGAAGTGACATGGAGAGAAAATAGGCAGTGTAAAATTAGCATAATTTCTTATTGTTGTGATGAAACACATACACCACTGCACTTTTTCTTTTGGATATTTTCTCTGTTGTATATTATTCGAACTTAAGTCGTGCATTAATTTGTGAAAGCTGGGTTGGATCTTCCAGCATTTCTTACACGTATCATTTGTTGTCAGTTCTGAAATCTAAAGCTGAAGATATGCTTCTGGGCACAGATGAGGTCCTGCTTTATCTGCATCCCATAATGTTTCTGCTCCACACCAATACAGTTGCTATGACAACTGTGACAGTAAGCGTTGAGGGGGGAAAAAACAATTTCCCGGAGCAGCTGTCTATCTGCTGCAGAGCTTATTCCTGTTGTGGGAGGTCATATTTCACAGCTGTTTTTCTCTGTATTACTTTAAAAGATGTTATTGTTTCAGTTTAACTATTGCTGACTTTTTAATATAGTTTGCTGACTCTTTTAAAACAGGCAGTAATCGGGAGGATGGATGAGGTAGGTACTGTCTGGTAGGCTGGTAGAAAATAATGAACAGTATTTTAAAAAATGGCTTCATATGTTCAGAATATCCCTGTAAAATTTAAAATCAGGGCAAAACATGATAAGTAGGGGAATCCTTTTTGTATTTAATCCAGTTCACATAATCACATAAGTTCTCATATATTCATGGTGAATGTAAGTGCTCACCCCCCGTGGACCAATGAGAGTGAATCTTGGGCGGTCTTCACCAGGAAACAAGTGAGCATGCAGACTGAAAGTCAACTGTCTATTATGTATCATATCTTTACTGTAAATTTACAAATGCAGTAAAAATGTGATATTCCATAGTTTAAAAACTACCAAAATGTCACTGAAAATTATATAGTGGATCCATTACCCTGATAGTGCTGTTAGGGAGGATAAGTGGCATTTAACAAGGCAGCTAAGCCAGGCGACCACACTAGTGGGCTGTTGTTCAGGTTTAAAAGGAGCAGTGGTTGATGGGAGTTGCATTTGTTAGTTTTCCTTAACTATTTCCTCCAACTGCAATTCGTTTTGATCTCTCGGTTTGTCTCTCCTATCAGGCAACTGTAGGGTTAATCATTTCATATCGCTGACAGACAGACTGACTGAGAACCAGGACATCTGAGCAACAGACGGATGTAAATTCAGAGGAAAATGTAAGATGGTGCATGTAATTGGGTCTCTTGACATGCAAAGTTTTGACAGCCCTCTAAAACACTGTAGGAAATAAGTGCAGAGTTATGGCTGTTTCTGCTGAGGCTGACGGTACCCATCACTCACTACTGACTTTTTTCCATCAGAGATGTTCAGGCTGACATCTCATATAAGCAGCCGCCTCGGTCATTCTACTCAAAATATTCCTCCTAAAACTTTTTTGCGAGTCAGACCTCCACATGGATACACAGTTGGCATTCCCTCAGTTTGAGGCTATTTTCTAGTTGCATGGGCTAAATCATGACAAAGTAGCCTAGTCATTTCAAAATCAGCATTCTGAAGTCTACAATATTTTGAATGCCAAGGATCCCTGACAATCTGACTTGTGGACAGAATTTTGGCAGCTCCAAACCCGCAAATTAGTTTGGAAAATCTTGGCAGAGAAACTGAGTAACACTGTTCCCCCAGCAGTTATTATTAAGTGGCCTATGTGTGAAATGAATTAGGCTAAAGGAAGAAATCCTGCCAGAATCACACTCATGTACTACCAGTATGCATCATTAAACTCTGCACCAGTGATCTCCAGCTGTGTTTTTGAAATGAAGTGTTGTAATTTACCAGTCTTCTTATACCTCAGCTTGCTACTGTGCATCTATATATTTCTACTTCAAGCTTCCCAAAATGGCTTTTGACAATCTTAAAAGCCATTTTGCAAACTTTTTTGTAAATGCAACATGTCTTGTGGTTGCATCGCTGCTGAAAGCTCCTATCAAGACACTTGTTTCTCTGTCTTTTCTGCAATCGCATTTCTTCCTGTATGACTGTTAAGCATGGATGCAAAATAGCTTTCTGATTTTGGAGGCCAGACATTTAGCATCAGTGTTTTAAATAGCAGTATTTTTGCAGCTGATAAAAATCAGTGTTGTTGCTTGGAATTGTGTTGGCATGGTGTCGCATCATCTACATTTGGCCAGTTATTAGTCAACTTTTTTTCCTTTTCCAGTGACCAAAGGGTGAGGAATGTGTTGTGCTGGGCACTTCCAAGGAGTGAATAAGTATAACCGCATGAATAATATATGAAGCAGGAAGGTACTAAAATTTGCCTCCCTGGGTAAATGTAGATGAATGATCTTTCTTGTGTGAAATGCTGTCGCAGAAAGTAAATTCTTGACTTAAAAGATTTTGGTCAGGTTTGCAAATTGGGTGTTTTTTGGGATGTTTAACAGACTCTCAGTGGTTTTCTCTGGTTCTTGCCAGTGTGCATGCATGAGGAAATAATGTACACAGTGCTTACATGGATTTCTGGTTCATGCTCCAGTGTGCTACTGGGTTCAGGGTTTGGCTGAATAGAAAACAATTATTCAGAATCTGCTGCAAAGAACAAAGATTATGATGAATCTGTACATTAGTATTGAGATTTGAGGAACTTTATACACTTTCAGAATACTTTCAGAACTCTTTGCAGCAAATTAAAAAAACTGCATACACAGCATTCTTCCTCCTGCATGTATCACAAAGCAGAGCATGGGAGAGCAGATCCAGAGCCATGTTACAGTAACCATAGATTAAATTTAGAAGCAGCATTTCAACACTGATATTTGCACCTACAATAGCATTTATGGTTGGATGTTGTGGTTACATATTGTTTTGGTTTTGGGTGCATGTGGTTTTAGGTTGCAGTGTGGCGAAAGCAGATTAGCAGTCCCGCAACCAGAAATGTACGGGCTTTATCCTCACATTAGCAACATAGAAAGTTATCTGAAAGTATGTATTGTAAGCACCTGTATTGTATGATTGTTAAGGGTTACAATATGAGTTAATGTCTGAAATCCCTGTTTCTGCCCCGGCTTTAACTACAGCATGTTGTAGTACTGACAACTTGTTTCAGCTGAACCTTACTACATGAAGATAAAAGCACTTTCTGCACTACAAAATTGAAGGATTGTTTTTGCAGCACTCAGAAGCTGCAGAGAATTAAAGACACTCCACAATTGAATCCCAATCCATCCCTCAATGTATGTATTGTCTTCTTATCTGCATTGTCAGATTACAGCATGAAACCTGATCTGACATACTGCACTAAGACCAATAAGGTGAAACTCAAATCCTGTTCACAATGCCTTACGTGAGCTGGTAAAACATTAGCTTTCCATAATAGGATTTGCCTGGAGGACATTGCACTTACACATCAATACAAAATCTATGGTGCATAGCTGAGAAGTTGGACTTCATCAACAGCAAAAAGTACTCTCAGGCTTCAACACAACCTTCATTGTAACTCAGATGTAATGAAAAGTAGCGTACTCGCCTGTAGGGGCTGCACTCAGTATTTTGGCCCACAGAGTCATCTTTTGTAAGATTTAATTTGAGCAGAAACACTTGGGAACAAGGCAAAGATTCAGATGGTGTGTGTAATTAAATAGACATGACGTTCACTTGCACAAACTAATGAAATCCTGCCATTCTAATCAGTTGTGCAGCAGAGTGGCGGTTCTGGAAAGTAACAGGGATTCCAGACATTTCTCCGTCTCACACTTGGTCAGAGCGAGGGAGGAAATAGCTTTCATTCCAGCACTAAGCATGACCTTGGGAGGACCAGCACTACTGACTGCTGAGTAGCACTGTAGGATAAAACACCCGTCCATTCTCTCTCCATCTCACACACAAACCTTTAACAACACTGTGAATATTAATCCACTCTCTCTCTCTCTCTCTTTGAATTCCTAAATTCATACTCAAATGGCTAGTATCTCCCGATTTCTATTATTAAATGTATTTTCTTGCTGTCTTGTCACATTAAACACTCATTAAATTCTTGATTATATTAAATAATTTCTTAGAGTTTTCTCTCATTCTTCTCAGTTCCTAAACTCTAAAACTTCATCCATCGCTTCCATCTCTACTCTCGCATTATATTCAATACTCCAGTACTCTCAATCTCTCTCTCTGCCCCCTATAGCCCCAGGGTTGGGTGAATGCTGGGAGCTTTCACAGTGCAAACAGGCCTCTTGACAGCCAACGGGGGGGCCGCAGCTCCAGCTCTGCTCTTGCCATCTACCCAGGGTTTCTCTGCAACTATGCTTTGATTCAGATTCACTACTGGCTTTGGTAAACATTGTCCTCGCAAGCAGTAGTAGTGAAAAAAGAAAAGTTGGGCTGGTGATAATTGTGCACCAGAATAAACGACCATCTGGATAGTAAAGACTCTGCTTTGGCAAAATGTGCTTAAGGGCCTGGGACACTAAATTATATCCCTCTATATGAAAATTACATCCCTTGGAAAATTTGTAATCAGACCAAAATGACGCTAAAGCAGTTTGACTTACATTTAGAGATGGAAAAAGCAACTGCTAACGACTGCTAGAACTGAATCGTGCGAGCCAGTGGGAAAGCCCTGCAGCCTGCCTGTATCCAGCTGTCACTGACCGGCTCACAAGAACAGCTGGCTGTTTGTCCCAGAGAAACGAGACAGTGTTTTCAGACTGTCAGTCATCAACAGAGACAATGTCAAAGATCAGCAATGTTCACGTGTTTTAAATGTGCAGGTCATCGGGAAGTCTGCCAGCCTCAATAGAGAGTGATGTGCCAAAACGAGCTGCAAGTCCCTGCTTCTGACCGACACTAAAGAACCACAACAACTGTGTGTCACAACACGCTCTCCTATAACAAGGGTTTCATTTCCAGAGCATCTGTGATCCAGATCATCCTTCTAAAACAACAGTAGAACACAAATGCAGAAGT